ACGACAGCGGTGTACAGTGCCTGTGCAGTCTTGTGCTGGCCAAAGTGCTCGCGCTCATCTATTGGCAGGGAGTTGCGAATAGCAAAGCGAGCGTGGGCGTCACGAGTCTGCCACTGTGAGCGGGCAGTGCTGTCAGCAGTAGCAGCAGGGGCAGTGGCATGGCCTAAGGCGTGATCGTACAGTGAGATGTCTTCCTTGGCAGTGAGTTGTAGGAATAGGTGCAGGTCATCGAGCCAGGTGTCAAACTTCACTGGGCGGCCCTCAGCATCGAAAGCTAGCACAGGAGGGCTAGCCATAGTGACAGTAGGAGTAGTAGCAGTAGTAGTAGCAGAAACAGCAGTAGTGACAGTAGCAGTGACAGAATCAGGGGCGCGGCTCGGTAGGGCGGCGCGGCTCGGGCCGGGTGACGCGGTTCGGTGGGGCGGCTCGGCTCGGCTAGGCAGCGGCTACTCGAGGTGGGGCACGTGAGGGCGTGCAGGGCAGAGTGGGGCGGTCCGCACGGGGCACGAGGTGGCGAGCTAGCTAGGGCGGGGCCTGGTCGCACGGGGCCAGCAAGGGCGGGCTAGTGGGGCGGGGCCGGTACGCTAGGGGCATGCGAGAGCGTGCAAAGCGGCTGCTCTGGGTCCAGGGGCAGCTGCACCAGGGGCGGCTGCTTCAGGGGCCAGGGGCGGCTGCTCTGGTTCCAGGGGCGGCTGCTCGAGGGTCCAGGGGCGGCTGCACCAGGGGCGGCTGCTTCAGGGGCTGTAGCAGCAGTAGCTTCAGTCAGGAGCAGCTGCAGTAAGCGCTGGAGTAGGAGCTGTAGCAGTAGCACTAGCTGTAGCAAGTGTAGTAGTAGGAGCTGCAGCAGTAGCACTAGCTGTAGCAAGTGTAGTAGTAGGAGCTGCAGCAGTAGCACTAGCTGTAGCTGGAGTAGTTTCAGACAATAGTAGCTGTAGCAAGTGCCGTAGTAGCAGTGGCAGCAGTAGCACTAGTTGTAGCAGCACTAGCTTCAGTAGCAGCAGCAGTGAGTAACAGTAACACGGGCCGCGTGCGGGCCAGTCGCGGGCTGTAAGGGCTGCGTGCGGGCCTGGCGCGGGGTTTACGCGCTAGGTGCGAGCCTGACGTGAGCTGTACGGGCTGCGCGACGGCCTGGCGCGGGCTGTACGGGCTGCGCGACGGCCTGGCGCGGGCTGTACGGGCTTCGCGACGGGTCTACGCGGGCTGTACAGGCTTCGCGACGGGCCTACGCGGGCTGTACGGGCTTCGTGACGGGCCTACGTGTCAGAATCCCAACCACTAGACCATTGGGATAAAAGGGCTTGTTTCAGTAGCGGGTCAGTGCGCCCATAACCCCCCAGGCAAACGCGCCTGTAACCCCCCCTAGGATCGATCGGGGATCTCACAGTGTAGCTCTACTGACACCCCCCCACACTGGGAGGCCTAGGACTGAGCACAGTGGCAACGGCCAACATGTGCATACACCGGGATTCGAACCCGAGACCGCTCTGATACCATGTCAGAATCCCAACCACTAGACCACTGGGATAAAAGGGCTTGTTTCAGTAGCGGGTCAGTGCGCCCATAACCCCCCAGGCAAACGCGCCTGTAACCCCCCCTAGGATCGATCGGGGATCTCACAGTGTAGCTCTACTGACACTACGTGGGCTGTACGGGCTTCGCGACGGGCCTACGCATTCAGGGGGGGGTCGCACGTGACTAGGAGGGAAAAAAATCGCGTCTAGGGAACCGTCTCGCCTAGAGCACGGTTTCGAATTTCGCATTTCTCCTAGGGGCGCGACTCGGGCAGTAGATCGAAATAGTAGTGGTGGGCCCTTTTTGAAAAATCGGTCCTAAGGAGCATTGTGCTCTTAATACCATGTTAGAATCACTAGCTAGGGAACGAGAAATGATGATTAGGTGAAGATTGGGGTACAAGACTAGAGTGTCGAGACTATTTGTGTACCCCCTAAGGCTAGCCCCAATATAGCCTAGATACAATTATGCATATGTTTTGACAATGTAGATACATCCGATGGCCTTGCTAACGGCACTCCTGGCATAGTTGTACATTTTACACAAAATGACCAACATGTGATGGAGATCATATGGGTTCAATTTGACGATGATGAAGTCGGGCGTAACATTCGCAATAAATCTGAATCGTTGATGTCCAAATGTATTGGAGTTCAACAAACTTGGACACCTATACAACGTATTGAGAAGTCGTTTTCTGTCAACTCACGATACGATATGATATCTCGAATGCAGTTTCCTTTACGACCAAGTAATGCGATTAGTTTCCATCGAAGTCAAGGCGCTACTTTTGATGGTGGAGTTGTGCATTTTGAGAAAAAAGTATTTCCTCAAGGCGCCTACGTTGCTCTAAGTCGCTTTCGCAGTCCTAATCGGTTATTCATAACGATTTTTTCGGAAGCCTGCATAAGAACCGATCCCCGCATTGTAAAAGAAATGTGTCGCTTACGTGAGCGACCTCTTGTTTTGGATCCAACATCAGTTGAAGTGATCTCAAAACAATCTTCATGTGTGAAATTCGTCTTTCAAAATGTACGAAGTTATCGGGGCCATTACAAGGACGTGAATATCAACAGTCTGCGTGATTTTGATTTCGTGGTCCTTTTTGAGACACATTTGAGCTCAAACGATACACTACCGAGCGAAACAGATAAGTTCTTTGAGGTTTTTCGTGCGGATTGCAAATCTGGCGGAATTGTACTATATCATCGAATTCCGATCAGATTGATACAGTATCAAGAGAAGTTTAAAGTTGAACTTTTGACTTTTGGTATCGATATTAGAGAGAAAAGTGTGATTATTACTTGCTGTTATCGCAACCCGACCAATCAGCATAATCAAAACATCCTCTTTGATATGATTTTATCCATTATTATCAAACATCCTCATGATAACATGATATTCATTGGTGATTTCAATCTCGATTTTAATGTGAATCCGCAACGTCGGTATGATAATTTCTTCAAACGGCATGGTTTCACTCAGTTCGTTATCGAGCCAACTACAGTTAATAATACACTTATTGACCACGTATGGGCAAATTGTTTTAAGACACATATCAAAGTCCATGTCGGCGAGACTTACTTTTCTGACCACTTCCCTATTTATGTCGTTATTGATTGATACACCTCCAAAGTTGCAATTCATCTTCAACTATTATTATCCTACAAATACCAACACCTGCAATATTAAATGTTGCATTTCAAATTCCATGTGGTTTTGAAAGCAGGGACATTGCCACCTCCGCACGACCGTACTCAGGTAAGTTTTGTCTCATTATGTTGTTATGCACCTTATTGCAACGCACCATATATCGAATACACTTCGTTCATACAACATTCACCATATAATATTCTACTCGCAGGTCACTGTAGAGGTGGACCACAAGTTTCTGGAAGATTGGGTAGTAGGAGGAGACAAGCCATCCGATTTCCATCTTAAAGTGATGGTGATTGGAACCAAGAACACCTACATAAAGAACGATGGAAAAACTTCGCCAGGAAAGATGCTTGTTTTTTACGCAGCGCGGTCTGTCGCCGAGATGATCATGTGGCCAGAGTCCACAGGATCTAGTCGATGCGACGTGCGGGCATTGAACGAGTTCTTGATGGGATTCTCCATTGGAGATGTCTATCAAGTTCGTCGTGTCAATGCTTCGCGCAAACAACCTGGCTGGTAAGTTCAGTCTGAACTTGGACTTGAGCATATGCATGAGTACATGTAAATACTCATATTAATATATGCTACTATGGACAGGACTCTTATTGGAGACCTTGACGTGCAACTGACCTGGATACATCGTTGTTCATACATGGTGAAAGATGATGAGGGCCTGCAGCTGACTTTGGGAGACGTGCCCACTGCACCGCTCAAGAACTTCTTCGAGACGAACGACGATTCCAGGGTAAGTCTTAAAAATCTTGGTGCAAAGTTTGGTCTGTGGAAAGATGACTAAGAATGAGGAAGAGAGGAAGGATAAAAAGAGCGTCGTTTGACGTACCCCCTATGATGTAACTCACTAAAGCACATCTAACTTTATGTGTGGTCCTCGTTAAAGTGATAAGTGCTTTGTTGTATTCATGCTTGTGTTGATCATGCTTTTACTCTCAATTATCTTTTCATAATTTTCGTAATCTTCTTAATGACATTTTGCTCTTCTGTATTACTAGATCCCTTGCGTTTCTGTCAGACTCAAAGCCCCAACATACGAGGAGCCAAGTGGATTGCCCAAGCTTACAGCGATCATCCAGGATTCCTCCCTTGAGAGTGTCCTGGTATCACTGGGGGACGCTGCCACGCGGATCCACCAGTGCTGTAAGACATACCTGGATCAACACTCAGATGCTACAGACGTGCCTGTCTACATTAGCAATGTCTATCTAAAGTCGGGTTTGTTCACGACAACGATGCTTTTGGATGTTGCCATTCTTGACACTTGACGAGCGTCGGAGATCACAGATGCCCCCGACACGGCGGAACCGCAAGACGTCGGGCTCGTGTCACTGTAAGTGAACATAGCATGCGCATTTGAACATTTTCTAAGTGAGACGCTCGAAAGTAACTCTTCCGTTTCTCGTATTCAGGATGAGTAATGTGGACACAGCTGTAATGACAACTAGGAAAGAGAAGATAGCATCTCTCGTAGCTGAGATCAAGGATCCTTTGCACACCTCGCGCACGGTGTGCAAGGGTGGATCGGGGGGTTTTTGTCCACTGGCAGTTTTCAGATCCTGTGCCACACGCGAGCATTCGTGCTCGAGGCATGGATCCGCTTCGATCACCCGGATCGAAAACACGACGGTGACACTTGTCGTACACGAGAACGGTAAGTAAGGTACTTGTATGCTTTTGTGTACAGTGTTAGACGTTTTGTCAAGGCATTAAATATTGTTTTGTTTTGCTAAAAAATTTCAGCGTCATTCAAGAACCAAGCCTACGGCTTGGTGGTTCAACCAAGCCTCTTGACAAAAGTAATCCCGCATCTCCAAATGTCTACATTTCTTTCCTTGCCCTCGGATGAGCGCCAAAGTCTACTAGGTGCTCTTCAAGGTCGCTGGCTCGTTAAGGTACGAGTTTATCTTCTTTAGATTTAGTCACTGTTGATGAATATTACATTTTTTAATCATTTATACTCTTTCCCCCCTTCAGGTTCACTTTGGACTTGAGGGGGGGCGCATCCACAAGACCATTGTTGACATCTCGAGCGTCCCGAAGTCAAACGTCGACACTGTCAACTTTGACACGTCGAGCTCCCAGCCATCGTCCACACCTACAAAGAGGAGGTTTGACGTGCGTGGAATAATAATATTCACTTGGTGTTTTGCTTTGCTAAACAATCTTTATGTCATGTAACTACTAATGTTGTTCCATTGATTTTTTTGTTTCAATTTTCAAATTCTTGCAGCAACGGTGAAGACCGAGACGCGTGAAGTTGGTTAAGAATCATTTGTTTTTTCTCTGGGTCTTTTTGAAACAATCTAGTTAAGGAAATGTGGGTGGGAGATAAACTAGACAATGCCATATGGATTTTGCTTTTGGGGTCGTTCTATTCGTCGACTGCAAATGATTGCGTGACTAATTATCTTTGTGTGAGTAAGTATGTTTGGTTATGCGTATGTAAGTGTGTATGTATATGTATGTACCGGTATGTGTGTATGTATGAACGTACATATGTATGTATGCGTGTATTTGCGTGCGTATGCGTGTGTAAATTCAACCATTACAATAACAATGCATGTCTGTGATTTTTAAAAAGAAAGCTCAACTCTATCATTTCACAAAAGGTTCATTGGCGCACTCAGTGACTCGTGTGCGACCACTTCGAACTGGATTTGATAGAGTTGATTTTTTTTTTTAGATTTCACAGATTGTGTTGTTTCATGTGACAGTTGATTATTCAAAAGTTAAGCTATTGACCTTCCTCCCATGCTAGGCAGGGGATGGCGGTAGCTTAGTTTTTGGGTTGTTAACTGTCACGCATATTATCGTGTGCATGTGCATCATTCATGATATATCACATTAAGCATTATGCATTGTATAGCATCATTTCTGCATTATGCATGCATCTATTTATTATTGTCACAACAACATCTACCGTAACAATAAACATATAAACCAAACAGTACAACAAAGGTGCACAAAACAACTGCAAAAAAAAACATATGGTTTAGTGCACTGATAACAGTACTGTATTTAAAACTGCTCAACATGCATACAGTATGGGAAGGGTACGATTGTAGTTTACAAATTTTATTTTAATTATTTATAAAAAAAAAATATAAATATGAAAATAAAATTTGGCAAAATCGATTATAAAGGGTTGCTTCGCAACCCAAAAACAAAAACCCTCTCAGATGGCATGATGCCATAAACCCTCTCAGTGGAGGGCAGCGGCAGCTGCAGAGCGGAGGGCAGCAGGAGCTGCAGAGCGAAGGGCAGCAGGAGCTGCAGAGCGGAGGGCAGCAGCAGCTGCAGAGCGGAGGGCAGCAGCAGCTGCAGAGCGGAGGGCAGCAGCAGCTGCCGAGCGGAGGGCAGCGGGAGCTGCAGAGCGGAGGGCAGCAGCAGCTGCAGAGCGGAGGGCAGCAAGAGCCGGTTTGGGTGTTGGATGTGGAGATGGCGGACGAGGCTTGCACCGATGAGCTGGAATCAAGCCCCATGGAGGGGGAGAATGCCAACCCTGATTCCCCGGACCAAGCGGAAAGGCCCCGAGCGCGGGGCCGGGGCCGGAGGCGACGGGCAACCAAACTGCAGCAGCTGCAGAGAGGAGGGCAGCAGCAGCAGCCGAGCGGAGAGCAGCAGCAGCTGCAGAGCGGAGGGCAGCAGCAGTTGCCGAGCGGAGGGCAGCTGCAGCTGCAGAGCGGAGGGCAGCAGCAGCTGCCGAGCGGAGGGCAGCAGCAGCTGCAGAGCGGAGGGCACCAGCTGCCGAGCGGAGGGCAGCAGCAGCTGCAGAGCGGAGGGCAGCAGCAGCTGCAGAGCGGAGGGCAGCAGGAGCTGCAGAGCGGAGGGCAGCAGCAGCTGCAGAGCGGAGGGCAGCAGCAGCTGCAGAGCGGAGGGCAGCAGCAGCTGCCGAGCGGAGGGCAGCGGGAGCTGCAGAGCGGAGGGCAGCAGCAGCTGCAGAGCGGAGGGCAGCAGCAGCTGCAGAGCGGAGGGCAGCAGCAGCTGCAGAGCGGAGGGCAGCAGCAGCTGCAGAGCGGAGGGCAGCAGCAGCTGCAGAGCGGAGGGCAGCAGGAGCTGCAGAGCGGAGGGCAACGGCAATTGCAGAGCGAAGGGCAGCAGCAGTTGCAGAGCGGAGGGCAGCAGTAGCTGCAGTGCGGAGGGATGGAGCTTGCAAGGCCGTTAGAGGGGGGCATGGAGACGGAGTCTAGCAGGAGGGTCTTGCCGGCGTGTTCGAGTGGAGAGGAGCACCCAGACCCTACATTGACACCCCCGCCCCGCATTCCGTGCGAAACCTGTTATCGCACGTTCACGGAGAGAGGAAAGGCCACACGCCATATGTCGGCCTGCAGGGCAGCGGACGCCCAGCGTCGTGCTCAGGCGCTTGGGTTGACCCGCGACGTCACAGATGACTCGGACGGCGAACCCCCGCCACCACGTGATATCAGTGAAGAGGTATGGGCCGCAGTTCCTACATGGGACTGGGAGTCGTTTTTTGGGATCGAATTGGTGCCAGGGAGAATCATGCGTCGTATCCCACAGCGCGCTAGATTGGGGGTGCTTGATGCACTGTCTTGTGTCCTGAAGCGGCTACAGTTAAAGGCAGCAGACGAGGCGGCGTCCTTGGTCTTTTTTGCCTTCCCTCGTCTTATCTTGGGGATGCCAACTGGGCAAGGCCAGGGGCATAGGGCGGCAATCAGGGAGCGGTTGGAGAAGTTTTGGGTCGGGGAGTGGCGGGAGCTGTTTGAGTTGGCGGTGGCGGTAATGCAACCTGCGGCGCGTCCTTTGTCCTTCACCCCCCCCGAGCATGATCCTGATGCGGTGCGCCTGGCTCGCTGCCGCACAAGGTGCAAAGTGGGAGAATGGAGTCGGGGTTTGACGTGTCTTACTGCCGGTAGCATCGCTCAGCCCTCTCAGCACATGGTGGACGCGCTGCGAGCGAAACACCCATCGAGCGAGACCGCCTTTCCGGAGTGGTTGCAGGAGGAGATAGTTGAGCCTTCCCTTATCCCGCAGCTCTCAGTGGAGGTACTTGGTCAGGCGATCCACTCTGCGGCTAGGGCGTCGGCACCAGGACCGTCGGGGTGGGTGACGGAGCACCTGCGCGACACTTTTCTCTCTGAGCCCGCATACCTGCCTCACCTGCTAGGAGTCTTCACCCAGTGGACCAAGGGAGAGGTAGCGGAGCGCGTGCGACCCTGGCTCACTGCGTCCAACCTTGTGGGCCTGTCGAAGCCGAATGGTGACGTTCGCCCGGTGGCTATAGGCGAGGTGCTCCCCCGCATACTATCTCGGGCCCTATGCATCGTGCTTCGGCCGAAGATGATGTCGCACTTTGCGCCGTGTAACCAGCTAGGAGTCGGATCCAGGTCGGGAGTGGAAGTCCTCGCACATGCCTTTCGTTCTGCCATCTCTACTCACCCGTCATGGTGCGCGCTTCAAATTGATGTGGCGAATGCTTTCAACTCCTTCCATCGGCGGGAAATGTTTGAAGGACTTCGACAGTCGCCTTTTGCGGGTTTGATCCCATTCCTGCGTGTCTTCTACGGCACTCCTAGCGACCTCTACCTCCGTGCGGGCCCCTTCGTCGAAGCTTTGGCTTCAGAGCGAGGATCGAGGCAAGGGGACCCATTGGGGCCGTTTCTGTTCGCGTTCACACAGCAGCTGGTTATGGAGCCCACCAAACAAGAATTCGCCGACCTACTCTTTCTCAGCTACGCCGATGATACGTACATCTTGGGGCCTAGGGAGCGGGTGCTAGCAGCTTATGAGGTCTTGCGGGAACGACTGGGCGGGCTTGGTCTGGAGGTGCAGCCGCATAAGTGCAAGCTTTGGGAGCGAGGGGTGGACCAGGAGGGAGAGGAGAGGAACGAGACCGTCCCGCCCGGCATGCAGCAAACATGGACGGGGCTCACCGTAGTGGGGGTTCCTATTGGGGAGGAGGAGTGGGAGGTGGCCAGCTTGCGAGGCCGGCTGATGCAGCTGCATGCACCTGTCCCTTGGCTTCCTTTGCTCGACCACCCACAGATTGCGTCCCATCTGCTGGCGATCGCAGTGTTAGCGCGCCCGATTTACCTCACAAGGACGATGCCTCCACGGCCTGAGGTTGTGGAGGCTTTCCGCGACTGGGACACGAAGCTTGAGGATTGTTTTGAGCAGCTGTTTCCAGATAGCACCTGGGATCATGATTCGGCAAGGTCGCAGATGGCCCGTCTACAGCTGCACCTTCCAGCCAGACTTGGAGGGTTTGGCATTCGATCTGCAGCTGACCTTAGCCCTCTGTCGTACGCATGTGGTTGGTGCCAGGCAGTGAGCGATGTGGCTCGGATGGGGGTGGCAGGGGAGGAACGGATGTTTGAGGAGTTTTTCCGCACGCCCGAGGCTACGACCTTGCTGGATCCTTGGTTTGCGAGAGCAGTGGAGCTGCTGCCACAGTCGGTCAGGCAGGAGATGCCACCCCTAGCCTTATGCACCGCTGACCCCCCTGTGCTGCTTTTCCCCACACAACACCGTCGCCTAGCGGTTGAGAGTCTGCAGACTCTTCGGGGTATGGCCCACGACGACGCCACCATGGCCCGTTTGACATCCCTTCAGGGCCCGGGGGCAGGGGCGTGGGTCTCCGCCGTCCCTTCGCACGAAGAGGCTACCTTCACCGCAGCCGAGTGGAGCATCTGTGCGTCCATGCGCCTAGGCCTCCCCATACAGCAGCTGATAGTCGCCGGCAAGTGCGCGTGTGGGTTTGAGTTTGCTGATCCCTCTGACCCGCATCATGCCCTTCGCTGCAAGTACCAGTACGCACCTTCTCGTGTTCACGACGCGGTTAAGTTTGTGGTGGCGAAGATAGCTAAAGGGGCGGGTGGGGTCGTGACCATGGAAGACGACACGTTGCTGCCAGGGAAGAGGGTGGATGTGGCGGTGCGGAGACTGAGGGAGGGGGAGGAGCATGCGCTGGAGGTTAGTGTGGTGGACCCTATCTCGTTGTCCGCGCAGCACCATGGACAGATTGGTCGCAAGGTGGGTTTTGCGGCTAGAGAGAGGGAAAAGCGGAAGGCGGCGGACTACAAATTGCTTCTGCAGCGACATAGGGGAGTGCAGTTTACACCTCTCATTGCTGAGACATGGGGTTGCCTGGGGGGGAGTTTTGGGCGGTGGCTTAAGAAACAGGGCGACGCGCAGATTGAGGTAGCGAAGACGAAAGGGGTGGCGAGAGCTACGGGGAAAGGTTTCTCGGCTTACTTGCTTGGATCACTTAAAGCGGCCATAGGTGTGGCTTTGCAGCGGGCTCAGGCGCGTGTGATCTTGTTGCGCGCGGCGTCGATGATGAGAGGCCCAGAGGCTGTTTCGGTGGAGCGGGAGGATTTTGAGGAGGAGATGGGATGGGATGCTCCGTGGGCGGATGCGCCCTATTTGGTGGACATGCGGGTTTAGAGGGTGGGTTTAGGTGAGGGGGGTGGGGGGTTTGGTTAGATGGGGCGTATTGTTGGGGTGTCTCGTTGGGGTGTCTCGTTGGGGTGTCTCGTTGGGGTGTCTCGTTGGGGGTATCTCGTTGGGGTGTCTTTTGGGGTTCCTTATGTGCTGTTCTACTGGGGTGTTCTTGAGGCTGCGTTTTCCAAAAAAAAAAAAAAAAAAAAATACACCACCACCACCTGCGTAGCACTCTCTCAACATCTCACCATTCAACGACTGGATCTAACTGTTGAACTAAGTGCGCCCGGTCTCCGAAAAAAAAAAAACATCGAGTGCACATTCTGAATTGCCCTCAATTTTCATCTCGTACTGATGATGATGCCATCCGAGGGAGGCATCGACCCTCGTCTGTCCGTTGACATTTATCTTCCCGATTCTCACCGAGTATTTTCTTTCCCGAGGAAGGATTGTAACCTTTTCCGAAAACCTCTCTCCCTCCGGTCTCCCCCGCGACTCCGTACCGCATTGTACTGAACCGTCCGACGCGCCCCCCCACAGGGCGAGTACCGACCGCCGTCGTTGGACTGGGACTTCTCCCGCGCGTCGTCCGCCGAGTCCGCCCTCTGCGGCTCCTGGCCCGCCGACTACGCCGCGCGCCACAGCGCCATCCGCCAGGCCAGCGCAGCCGCGCACGCAGCGCACGCGGAGCTCGTCAAGCAGACCAGGGGGAACGGGGTTTTCGCGTGGTTCGGGCCCCCGACCCCCCCGCGCCCGTACGACCCCGCCGTTCGCTTCCTGACGTTCGAATGGCTCGACGGGTGCGGCGGGTATGGCGACGCGCTCAACGGGCTGATGCTCGCGTTCGTGACGGCCGTGCTTGACGGCCACGCGCTCATCGTCCGCCATGACTGCCTGCCGGACGCGTTCTTGCCGGCCATGATCGACTGGCGGCTGTCGGACGACGTGCTGCTGGAGCCCGCGAGAGTCGTCACGGCGCCCGGCTACAACTGGGACGGCGTCGTGAGCGCCGCGCGCCCCGAGGCGCCAGCGAAGGAGGGGGAAGTGGTGCGGCTGGACATGCGGAACTCACGCGTGGAGCTAGCTACCTATTTCAAGGCCCTCGAGAACGCCACCAACATCCGGCTGTCGGCGAATCTGGGCGCGCTGACGCACCTGGCGACCAAGGCGACGGGCGAGTGGGCGGAGCGGTTCAAAGAGCTGGGCATTCGCCTGCCGTACGCCGTGGGTTGCTTCCTCCGGTTCCTCCTGCGGTGAGCCGTGTGTGTCGGCGCGGGGCACGGCACGTGGGGGCATGTGGACGGATGGGGGAATGTGGGCGGCTGTGCGGCAGGGGAACGGAGCAAGTGACACCGTGTGCTGTAACTGAACCCTTCGTTTGACAGAAACGGCAGAGCGTGCTTGTACCTCGTGTTTCTCCCCCCAACCAATCCGATCCCGTTCCATTATTCAAGTGCATGCCACCCTCCCCCACGTGCGTGCCACACCACTCTGCACCGCACATGGGCGTAGGCCGCGGGACGAGGTGAGGAAGCTGTTCCACAGCATCATGCAGCAGCTCAGAGCGCGCACGGGGGGAAACCACAGCAGCAGCAGCGGTGCGCAGCAGCAGCAGCTGCAGCAGCGCGTGGCGACGATGGGCATTCACATCCGCGTGCAGGACGAGGTGGTGTGGGCGGGCGACCGAGGCAAGCCCAAGGAGCTCACCTCGCAGCAGATGGACGCGCTGTTCGGCGACGCCAAACAGTGGCTCGACTGCGCTCAGGTGTGGGATGGCGGGTGGACTGGGGGAAGCCGTGATGGCGATGCGTGCAGGAAAAGATGGGTGAGAGGTGGATGGATGGTTGGGTGGATGGGTGGATGTGCGATGGTGGGATTGGTTGAGGGGTGCTGTGTAAGCATGTGTGCACATGGTGTTGTGGATGGGGGGTGGCATGTGATGATGATAATGGCCAGGTATGCATCATCTCGCCAGCGAATTGTGCTCTTGCATTCCACCTACCCACTCCCCCACTCATTTTTCCACCCACCAGCCGATTCAGCTTCTCCCATAATGGCCACTCTTCGCTCTCGTCGCTGACTTGGACCCTTCCCCATGTCTCCGATGGCCTGTCAAACAGCGGCAACTCTTGCTTCCGCTTATCACTTCCCTCGTCCTCTTATTCCACCTTTCTTGCAAATGCCTCGACCTGTGTCCCGGTGCCATCAGCGGGTGGAGGGGTACTGGTTCCCGTCGTCCCTTGCGGTGCGATGGATGCTCATCACCAACTCAGCGCAGCTCAAGGCTGCCATTAAATCCAAATACCCCGACAAGGTGTGTGTGCGTTTTTTACGTGCATGTATGTGCGTGGGTGCTCGTGTGCGTGCACACGTGCGCGTGTGCGTGCCTGGCTGCATGCGTGCATGCATGTAGTGTTCGTGTATGTGCCTGTTCATGTACATGTGCCTTTTGTGCACCGGTGCGTGCGTGCGTGTGTGTATACGCGTGCATGTGGGCGTGCGTGCGTGCATGTGTGTGCGTGCGCTTGTGTGCGTGTGCGTGTTTGCGTGCGCGTGCGCGCGCGTGCGCGTGTGTGTGTGTGTGCATGTGTGTGTGTGTGTGCATGTGTATGCGTGTGTGTGTGTGTGCATGTGTGTGTGTCCATGTGTGTGTGTGTGTGTGTGTGCGCGCGCACACACACGCATGTGTGTGGGTGCGTGTGTGTGCATGCGCGTGTTTGTGCGCGTGTGTGCGTGTGCGCGTGTGTGCGTGCATGTGTGTGCGTGTGCGTGTTTACTTGTGTGTGTGTGTGTGTGTGTGTGTGTGTGTGCGTGTGTGTGTGCGTGCGTGCATGTGTGTGCGTGTGTGTGTGTGCGTGCGTGCATGTGTGTGCACGTATGTGCGTGAGCGCGCGCTTGTGTGTGTGTGTGCATGTTTGTGTGTATGTGCGTGCGCGTATGTGTGTGGGTGCGTGTGTGTTCAAACGCGTGTTTGTGTGCATGTGCATGTGTGTGCGTGCGTGCGTGTGTGTGTTTGTGTGTGTGTGCGTGTGCGTGTGCGTGTGCGTGTGTGTGTGCGTGTGCGTGTGCGTGTGTGTGTGTGTGTGTGTGTGTGTGCGTGTGCGTGTGCGTGTGCGTGTGCGTGTGTGTGTGTGTGTGTGTGCATGTGTGTGCCTGCATCTCTGATCTGTGCCCTCCTCCACTCCCATGAGCACTGCGAATGTCCTTCCATTGATAAACGTATCGTTAAGTGGAACACTTTTCGGTATAGCGCAGCTCATTCCTCACTAGCTGACTGCATCGTTATGGAGTAGGTATCATGAAGTGTACGCGCTCCGCTTGCTGCACCGCAGGGTGCAGCACAAAGGTTAGGATGCTGCCGCTGCTCCGTCTGCTGCTGCAGCATTAGTTGGAGAGAAACACACAGCAGGCTTTTGCACCATGGTTTCATTTGTTAGCATCTATGAGCGGACACGCACATTAAATTGTCTTGAAATAAAGGGTGTACGATCGCTACATGGTGCCCCTGTTTGCATGCAGGTCGTCACAACAGATTTTGTCCCACGGCATTCCAATGGTCTTGCGTCAGGAAAGCACAAGGGTTTGTTGAGCATAACGGGCAGGAAGCAGGAGCAGGCAAGAATGTTCCAGGAGCTGGTCACCGAGTGGTTGCTCCTAGCGGCATGTGATGCGTATGTCATTTCTAGATCCGGAGACTCGCACACGGCCGTGTTTTACTCCATGCGGACGCTGGCCATCTTTGAGTATGACAGGTGTGACCCAGAGCAACCAACCCAGGCAACGTACATGGGGGAAGATTGGAGTGGGGTTTGATGAATCAATGCTTCCATTCCATAGGTGCTTTAGGTTTCATCTGTTGGAAACAATTGTGGTTAAGCGCCTCTGTCGTGTCAAAACACTAAGGCACAAGCGAAGCAAAGCATATCGAGGTACCAGCGAGTCAACCCTCGCATATCGAGGTACCAGCGAGTCAACCCTCGGAGGTTGAAGTAACTGCTGGAGGTTACGCGAAAGTCAAAGGTCAGCGACCTTTGACCTGACAAGTACAGCGCGACAGCAAGGACACACAACTGACTCGCTACAGAGCAGTTGCCCGAGTCGTCACTGTATCGAACCGCAACAGCAACAGTAAAACAGTTATAACCGTATCCTTTCATATTCCTTGTACTCTTATATAATCTTGTATCTCTTTGTTTTAATCAACTTACTTTGCCCTCACATACTAGCGCAAGGTGGTTCACAATCTCTTCATTAAACGCTTCCGCTATTACATTGATCCTACCCAGAGTTCACCCCTGCAAAGATCCTAAGGGCTTTTTCTCAGCCCAACATGGTATGAGAGCTCACAGGGGAAACTCAACTACCATCAAGTCATCAAAAGCATTACAAGACATGGCAACACAGAAGGAAAGGAGTTCCTCTAACGGTTCTCCTGGCACCACTCCTACTCCACCTCCTGCCTCTGGCCTACAGACAGAGGAGGGAACTGCAATGGGACCAGCAGCACCTTCGGCGAATCAACCTGCAGACTTCGATCAAAGCATGATGGAGAAATTCTTCTCCTTCATGTCCTTCTACGAGCAACACCAGCAATCGGCACCTGCGCAGTCACATAATAGCAACAACAACGGAGCAACTCCCATGAGCCTCGACGGCTCATCATACGCACGAGGAAATCAACAGCAGCAGCCTACCTTTGCTCCGTACGAACGCGGGTCCATCAGCTTCATGACGAACCCGCAGCCTTCACCTGGACAAGAAAAGCCACTGGACGCACTGCAAGTTCAGTCGCAGTTCGCGCACGTCTTAAAGCTGCAGACAACGAGGCCCTTCGATGGAAAGGATTTCTTCACCTGGTCGTTCGAATTCGAGTTAATGATGGAAGGCGCGCAGATACTTGGCTTCTTCGACGGGTCCCTGCCATACCCAACGAACGGCACACAGTATGAGAAGCAACAGTACACCTATCAGTCGATGATGGCATACACGATTCTCCTGAGAAACATCACCCCGACCCAGCAGCAGAATATACGGTCTTACCGGGGTTACAGCAACTCCGCGGAGCTCGCATACAGCCACTTGAAGAATCTGTATCAAGCAACAGATAGCGTAAACCAGAGTCGGTTAATGGCGCAATTGACAACAGTCGAAATGAAACCAGGCGAGAAGGGAATGGCGTATATCAGCCGATGTCGCGAGCTGCGCGACAAGCTTCTTCGATGCGGAGGGTCGATTTCTGAAGACGCCTTCGTGACAGTCATCATCGGCGGCCTTGGTCCTCAATGGCGCGCCACAAAGGCCATTCTCCGAGCCCACGGAAGAATCTCCGAAGCAGCACTCTGCGCAGAAATCCATGCCGAGCAGCAAGACATGGACCTGCAAGAAGAACGACACAAGAAGAAGATATCAGCACCGGAATTCGCATTCCACACTCAGCGACGCTACAACAACTACAAACAACAACAACCGAAGTCCGTACCTCCTTTCTGCCACATCTGCAAGACGTCAGGGCACCCGCGCACACACTGCCCGAATCGACAACAGTCAACTCCACCGCAACGGCAGCTTCGACCCTCCAGCAGCCAAGTGGCATCAACGCAGGCAAACCCCACGAGCCAGTCGAAACCGTCAACAACACAACCTGCACAAGGAGCAAGAAACATCGTCAGCTGCATGGCAAAATTGACCGATTCCTGCATCACCGAGTCACCGCCACACTACTCACCGGAAGAACAACTCGATAACACCACACCTCGCCGCGAGTCATTTCAGCCGAACCCAACATACGCAGCCATCGCTCAAAGCGAGCCATCCGGGAAGGACACGTGGTTCTTGGACAGTTGCTGCGGACAACACATGTGTTCTTCAGGACGCTTCGTGCAGCGAGAGTATCAACTTCAACACGAAGTAGTCATCACCGTCGCCAACAATCAGAACCTGCGCACACGACGACAAGGCGTGGTACAACTTCAATCACGAGAGACAAATGTCGTTCTACAGATGTCTAAAGTTTTAATCGCAGAAGGCCTCGGCTACAACTTACTGAGCGTCAGTCAGTTGATGGCGAAGGGTATTCACCTCGAGGCAGACAGCACCACCCAGGAGTTCAAGCTGTACCACGGGAAGGGCGGCCTCTACATCGGAAAGGCGATCCTAAAAAATAACGTCTTCGTTCTTGATTTTGTTCCAGATCTCGGCACAGCAGACAGCGACGGCATCGTCACCTTCACCTCCTGGACCCACCCTCCAGATCTTGATCCAGACTTCAGTCCAGAAGGCTTCTGGTACTCACACACCATTCCTGAGGCAGAAAGAACAAGGGCATTAGCAACAATACAACATTCGGCAGCAGCAGAGACAACACCGGCAGCAGCAGAGACAACATCGGCAGCAGCAGAGACAACATCGGCAGCAGCAGAGACAACATCGGCAGCAGCAGAGACAACATCGGCAACAGCAGAGACAACATCGGCAGCAGCAGAGACAACGACAGCAGCAGCGGCAACATCGACACCAATCACTGGTTCTTCAACGACACCAATCTTCATCGACGATTCGCCACCAACACCCGCACAGCAGTTAAACCCGACCCAACGAGAAGTCCACCGAAGCGCCAACCTCACCGCCAGCTTCTACTCCAACTCCGATCTGTATCGACGATCACCCGGACATCGCGCCGACGAAAGCACCTGGCACGCAAGGATGGGACACCCAAACAACACAGTGTTAAATAATACGATAAGAGCAGGAGTGCTCGACAAGGACTCACTACTACTAACCGACGGGAGAGAACTTCAACGAGCACGTGGAACATGCTTCACCTGTCCTGAAGCTGACTTACCGCATCAGCCGTTCACATCTCACCACAATCCTAGTGCTCCGGTCTACGCGTGTGAGAGTACGACGGCTTATGCCAGCTATGCTTGCTTGCCTTTACTTTATTATGCTATTTCTAGCATAGGAAAATTATATGCATGCATGAATTGCTTGATTTCCTAGGCTAGGTGCTTTCCTATATTTTATTATAGTTATAGCACCGAGCTAGGTTGCGTGCACCGAATTCTGGCTTTTCGGTTGCCACCGAATTGCCTTCTACCGAATTCGGGAAGGATCTGTTCGGGACGCTTCGCGACCCGCGGAACCTTCGCGTAACACCTGGTTACGGGGCCTTGTGTCGAGCCTATATATAGCCTCGTGTTGTACCCAGGTGATCAATTCAATTCACATTCTCTTTTCTGAGCTCGATCCTAGATCCTCACACTTGGTAATCAGAGCCCGTTTACACGCGAAGTTCTTTCGACCGCTACAAACCAG